TGCTTGCACAACCAAGAAAAGACCAAAGCGATAAAATGTAGGAGTGACTTTTAAGCGAATTGTCCTTGGCATATTTGGACCTTTTATGTGGACCATGAATGGCAACAAATACATTCTCGTCATCATGGATTATTTCACAAAGTGTCCCAAAGCGTGTCCGACCAAGGCAGGAACTTCGGCTGCGTTCAAGGGACTCTACGATTTATTGGAAATCAAGAAAATGCAGATGACATCATTACAGCCACAGTCGATGGCATAGTGTAGAGGTTTAATAGTACAATCCTGAAAGATCTCTTGCTCATGGTTTCCAAGAAGACTGGGATAGCAAGCTGCCCCTGTTCCTGCTTGCTTACCGTAGTCCCATCCATGACAGCACCTGCTCTTCGGCTTCCCTCTGGAGTACAGTTTATCCCCATACTATGGACTTATTATTATATTTGTTCATCTTTTTACCTTTGGCATTGGACTTCTGACCAAGGCTTCCACTGCTGAGGACATGCAGTCCTTGTGAGGGGACAGTGTTAAGAAATGCCCAGCTACAGTAATATAGCCTCCCCGCAAGGTGGGTTTAGGGTTACCATATTTGGCGATATGCCATGGACAAAGAAAGGATATTCTTGCCAGTTTACCACGGGATGTTCTCAAACGTATATAAACCCTGCCTGTATGCAGAGTAGAGTGTATTGTCAAGTGCATCACGAGAGTTTACCGTCGAATTTTAGCTCGGGTGTGTTGAGTTCCAAGAGTGATTGACCTAGTCGGGAGATGTATTTAGTGCTTTGTCTTGAAGCTGTCTTCACTGTTATAGGTCGTTCATTACAACTTGAACCCCTGATAGCCTGAGGGCTGTGTTGCTGATTGTTTCAGCTTGCTTAAGTTCTTTTACTACTGTTACTATGTTTTTAGAAGTGTCCTGCAAATAAATTGTGTTTTGATTCTTCGTCAATCACTCCAAATCCATGAACTCGCAGAATACAACAATATTTGCTTCTGTATCTATGATCACTGAAAAGGATGCTTATTCATGTATCCTTCAACAAACAGTCTGTTATCTCTAAGAAATGTGAACTTTCATGGGAGCTCTCTCCCAGTCTTGGTTCATGTGACAGTTCCTGTGACTACAGTCCTTTACGTATTTTTCCCTGAATCTCAGTTCCAGCACATTTAAGACGGCATTGAAGTTCAAAATCTGCTCTTCGCAGAGGACTCTTAAGATGTCTGCAGCATCTCCTCGGATCCACTCTCAATTCTCATTTCTGTTGTTGCATTCTACGCGTTCGTGGATTTGAAGTGATTGACAACAGCACTTGATGAAGAATCAAAACACAATTTTTTCTCCAGTATTTCACGATAGTTCCTAAAACATGGTAAGAGTAGTCGAAAAACTATGATAAACACGCTGAAACAATCAGCAACACAGCCTTCCGACTATCAGGCTATAACAGTGAAGACAGCTTCATGGCAAAGCACTAGCATATACAGCTCCCGACTTGGTCGGTCGCTCTCGGAGCTCAACACACTCAAGATGCTCTTCACGATAAACTCTCGGCATACTGCTACTCCACACACAGGTGGGGTCTGTATAGCTTTTGACTTGCCTTTGAGAACATTGAGATAAACCAACAAGAATGTTCTCGCTCAGTTATGGCACAGCGCCAATTTTGTCACCAAATTGGGGATTTCGCATCAAATCTAGCAACCCTAGCCCCACTTTGTGGAGAAGCTATCTTAGCTGGACATTTTGTAGTCATTCTCATGCATACATACGAAATAAAAACTTAATTCTAAAAATGATAACAATGAATATCAATGGATTGCTTTACCTGTCGTCCACTTCGAGTATGTATTATTTCAGAACTTGAAACAATTCTATCACTGCATAATGTCAAGTCTGAAGGATGCGATTTTGAATCATCACGACTGGGTAATGAATCTCCTCCTTTCATTTTAGGGCATAATCTGGGCTCTGAACTTCCAGCTTTGTCCTGAAGGGTTAAATCTGGCAATGTAATCTGTAAGGGATATAACCACTGAAGGGGACTGATAATTTCTACATCTGCCAGTTTCAATCGAGCTACTCGTTTCCCATCTCATCCTGCAAATAGTTCCATCAGTCTGGCTAAAGGCCAATTAATTTTTTTTTTTTTTTTTTTTAAGCTGTTAGATCCTACAAACACAACATCTCGTACTTGAATATTACCTCTTGCCTTACCTCTGAGCATTACGGGTTTAGCCCTGAAATTTCAAAGTTCCTCAAAATGTCATGAATAAGTGATATTTTCTTGATTTTAATTTAAAAAAATGACTCTTTCATTTTGTACCTTGATTCCTTTTCTTCCAATACACATCCAAACTGAAATCCGATACATTAAAAGCTAGCAAAAACTTTCATGTATAATGAATGTGGAAGGGAACCTTCTGTACGGAATTTTCCAGTCGTAACGATGAGAGGGTTAATGGTTGGGTTTCTTACAAGCTCAGACAGACATTCTTTTTGGAATCTATTTCGCTAACACTTTGCAAATATTGTATTCTTTTCTTCACATGACTTCCAGCAATTGTGTCAAAGTCAAGAGTATCACAGTTAGTAAAATTTGGAGTGTCATGTAGGTAATGTGCCAGTGTTAATGGTTCCTCTGGATTCTCCAGCAAACAAGTTAAAGGTCTCTTATTGACTGTATTATCACCATCACATAAAACAATTAATATTTCCTCTCTGCCAAGAATTCTTTTTCAGTAGATCTTTCATACTATGTATCATGCACTCCTACCATTCATCATACCACAGTGCAACTTGGCGAGTTAAAATTCCATTTTATCCTTTTTTAAGTGCACTTTCTTCTTGAATCACATTCCAGTCTAGTGTTCAAAAAGCCTTTGATGTGACCTTGAAGTTTGTTCCATTATCAGTGTAGATGACCAAAACTCTGCCTCTTCTAGCCGTGAATCTTCACAAAGACAATAAAAAGCTTCTGTGTTATTAACTCTAAATGTACTGCACGGTACACAGCATAGGTGATTGCACGGTACAAAATCCAGGCCTTCACCCCTCCATGAAGGAAAATAGTGCCAGCTAGATCTGCACCTGCTACTTTGTATAAGGAGAAGCTGTCTGTATAATTATGGCCTCAGACGAATGTCTCCTACATGGAATGCAAATAGATATAACCTCACAAATAATTTTCCATCCATGAGGTATCCAAAAGCTTTCTCTCAGCTGTGATTGTTTGTACTCCAGCATGACATAATGATTTGTATATATACTCAATTAAACGTCGAACGATTGGATGACCAGGTAGAACTATACAGCACTTAAAATCATCAGTGCCATCTCTAAAGATACGCCGAGTTTGCACCCTTAATAGTCATTCGTCTAGGCAGAACTTCATTGATGCTTTGTATTTCTTCTTGTCTTTTACTGACCATTCCCTCTGAATGAACTTGACCAGTATAGTTTCGGCCCTTTCTATTTCATCGCTGGTTGCAGACATAAAAACCTTTGGCTTCTCTTTTCTTAAGCAGTCACATAAATTATCCAAACAGTCATGCATGATAGTTTAAAATATTTCGAGAAATACAACAATCTATAACTAAATGTCACAGTTCCTTGAATACTTGAGGCACATTTTTATTTTTTCTTTTGTAAAGCTTCTGGGAAAACTAAGCAACATCTTTTGCATATAACTTGAAATTTCCTTTTGTCTAGTCATCTTGGGAGCTTTCTTACAGTCTCTACTAAAGTGTGGATGATTACAAAAAAATATATTATTTAGCCTTCTCATGTGTTGACGAAATAAGAGCTGAAGCATAAGGGGTATTATTTCTTGAAGTATCAATTTTTTAACCTTGAATTCCAAAATCCGATCAAGCCAAATTTATAATTTCCTCACCATTAACTTCTTACCTTAAAAATTTCACGAGCTTCTCAATGATCTTTGACTGTTTTCAGCAACCTTGTTGTTACCATCAGGAAGACTGGACACTCAGTATCTTTCCCAAGCTCTCAAAACATCTTCAGGAAGACAAGACTTGACAAGGGGAAACAATCTGCAAATTTTTCTTTAGATCTTTCTGATATACCTAAAGCTCTTAAATGTGATTCCAGTTGATCGTATAAAGTAATCAAATCAGTACATTTCATACCACTTAAGCATTTTTCATTACCATTGAGAGTAATCCAAAAACATATACTTGTACTAACAAATCTTCTCTACCAAATCTTTCTTTCAATAATTCAAACACTTTGGGGTAATTTTGAGCTGTAGAGGAGGGGAGGAAACTGTCTATTAAACTGGCAGCTCGAGACCCAGGAGTAATTGCCCGAAAGCCGGCATTTCTTCATCCTCATGAATTCCGAAAAATTGATTCCAAAATCCCAAAAAAGGATTTAATATCTCCATTAAATTTCTGAGTTTCCAATTTTGGCAACCGATACTTTCGATTACATGGCGACTAAATTGACTTAATCATCAGAAAGTTTTTCATAATTAACCTTTAACTTAAAAGAAAAGTACATAATTTTCAGCTTCTTTGAAATCCTTAGCCTACTCTCCTTTGTTTTTTGTCGCCTTCACCAAGTCATAATTCAGAAATGGCATGTTGAACACTAAGCGCTGGAATTTATCATGTAACTGTGAATTTAATTCACAAAGTTTGGAAACATTCACTTTCATTTTCATAATTTCTTCAGCAACAGCCTTTGTTGTATTCATAAATGTTGTATGTAATGTTTTACATTGTCTATTTTATTTTTGGACATTTTGGGGGTGTTTCATTTTTAAAGCCATTTTTACGAATTTACTGGAGAAGGTAAATAGTTATAGGACAGGTTAGCAACATAGTCATTACTTATGCCAATTAAAAGTTGCATAAGGTCCATTAGCCAAGGGATAAGATATATGATCCATGCATTATGTAAATTTGAAATTTTATTACTTGTTTTTGTAATTGTTATATGAATGCATTAATGAAGAATTTTTATTATTATTTTTTATTTGCAGTTCCAATGGAAAATTGGCTTCATGGTTAACAATAATTGGTTTCCTTGTGATGATGTCACTAGATGCTGGACTAGGATGAAAATAATATATATATAGTATAATATTTAATATAGGATATATTTTAACAATCACTGTGAAAGATCTCCTGTTTGAATTATATGTGAAATCGTGTCTTTTGGGGTACAAAGAATATGTGCTGGTATTATTAATATATAATACAGAATTTTCATTCTATGCACATAAATTAAAAACATTTGTACAGAAACAAATATATTTTTATTTGAACATGAGTAATTGTGTAGAAGTTGTCACATTTATCTAAAACTAGCAGAATTGTTAACCCACCTTCTAATATAATTTTCAAATATTAGTAAAATAATTTTTCACTTGAATATGTACCAAAAAATTTATGATATTGAATTATGTTATCAAAGAGTTGAATAAACTCTCAGTATTCCATATTTGAAAATCCTTGAATATTTAAAAAAATAAATAAAAAACTGATGGTAGAAAAAGTTTAGAGATTGCAACAGTAATTAGTTTTATTTATTTATTTATTTTTTTATTTTTTACTGACTTATCTTTTTTACCACTGTTATTTAAGTTTATACATATTTTTTTCCCTCATTTTTCTATCATGATGGCAATGTAGAGCATCTCTTGCTAGGACAAATTCATCTAATCTTATGGCCACCCCATTCTACATATGCACTTTTTCTTTTTATGGAGATGTTTGCCAAAGACAAACTCAAAAAATGAATAAATCAGACAAGTGAAAAATCTATCTCAACTACAGTTTGACAAAATCATGTAACAAAACATTTCTTTAGTTATTATAATTAATATCTATAAACCTTTTGCTCTATCTCTTTTATATTTTTTATAGTTAATTGTTTTAAAAGTTTTTTTTTGAGAGGGGGTCATGTGTAAACAGATAAAATTTTGATACCTTCTCTGGTGGTTTAATTTACGACTTCAAAATTCCATGATTGCCATAGTAGGTGGAAACATAAAAGCATAATAGCACAGGCCATACATGAGATCATCTCCCTGATACTGGCCTCACCTACTTAAGAATTTTTACCAGAAGTTCATATATCGCCATCGAGGCCTCGTGCAGTAATTACAGGGTTCATATGGCCCTTAAGTGTCCTTATATTTTTTGGAATCGATTTTTGGGTCCTTAAAAGTCCTTAATTTTGGCCAAAACCAGCAGAAGGTTCTTAATTTTAATCATCTGAAATTTCTGTCTGTTTTTACGACTGCCATTTTGAGTGTGAATTAGCATTTTGGAAGAATACATTTGGCGATTCACTGCCGTATGTATGGTTATCTTTTGAATGGGTTCATGAGTTTTAATTTGTTTCTATTTCTAATATAAATCATGGGATACTCGAGTTTCTAAGCAAGAAGTGAAACATAAGCATTTTGAATTTCTTTTTTTCTAATAAAGAGCTCTTAAACAACTTTTCGCTTTTGGAGATGTGAATTCTTTTATTAAACGGTTCTAAATTTGGCAACGCTTCGACATTTTGGCGATTTTAAGATTAGTTTCTATAAAAACTTTTTAATTCCGAGATGAGAATTTTTCGACGATTTTTTTAAAAACATCGTAGCATTGATAAATTTCATTAAAATAAATTTTTTTATTTTTCGCTGTCAAATTATAAAGCTTCAGTTTGGCAACTTACTATACACTATTTTGAATCTGAAAAATAAACAAGGTATACAATTTACGAAACAGTTCTTAGCAAAAGCAAAATTAGTTATTTAATTAATTAAAAAGTCTTGTTTTTAATTTTTTCATAGTAAAGAGTTTTTCCCATGTAATTGTCTCAGAATGTGCATCAGTTTTCTCTATAAAATTGATTTTATACTTTCTCCCTCTTTCTTTCTTTCTTTTTCCAAAATATTTCTGGCTTTTTGCTGTTACAGAAATGGTAAGGATAATTTTTCTTTAGGATTTTAGACATTGCAGCTTGGAAAGTTTAGAAGAATTTGAAGGCAAGATTTATAGACCCACGATTCAAGAAGATTCGTAAATATGTGACAAAATGAAAAATGTCTCCTTGGTGTCAGCACATAATGGATGTATTTTACAGAAAGTTTGCGATGAATTTCTTACTCTTTGGAGAACGTCTGGAAGAACAATGAAAACATAATACTTGAATGTTTTACTTCTGATACTAGAATCTTAACATGTTCAGCTTCCCTTTATTTTCTCTACTTTTCACTAGACACAAACATGGGAAATATCAAAAATGCTTCTAATCTCATCACACGGGCAGGCATGGAAAGGAATTATTTTATTAATAAAGAAATTGAAAAACTTACAATTTAAAAGATTCATCTAATATGTTTCAATGTATCATACACAGAGCTAGCACTAGGCATTTTTTACCTCTGTGGATCCTAAATTCTACTGCCTAGTGCCTTTCTAAATTCTGCTTCCAATGCCTGCTCTAAATTCTAAAAGTTTTGCCATTTCTAGATTTTGCTGTTTGGTGTGTCACTTAATTCTAGACATTCTGACACATCAGCTCTGTAATCGGCCTTTACTATATATATTTCATATTTCTTCTGAATGTTCATATTACTAAAGAAATAAAATTAGCTGCTTATTCTGTACATTCTAAATGCATTTAGTGTTTTTTAGAATAACAGAAATCCTTAATTAAATCCAAAAATACTAAAATGAAAAGGAAACGTGTTGAAGAAAGAAACTGAATACATAAAGAAAATTTATTATTATGTAAATTACCCAATTGTTTATGATTTCAGCCTTTACTATAATTTCCAATTTCTGTTTCCTCATATGATAGAGTTATTGAGCCAGATTAAATTAAAATGAAATTGTATAATCTTTGACCACTAGTCTACATTATTAGTTTGAATTTGACTGTTCTTGTTTAATTACGTCACCGTGAGCTGTAATTGATTTTGTTAGCATTAGAACATGCCTTTATGTTCTAAGTTCTTTTTAAATAAGAGGCTTATTTAAACCTTTGTCTGATATTGTAGTTAATTGCAGACATAGTGATAATATGCTTCATGTCTGTCGGTTTTGGACTTACCAGATCAATTAAAACTTCATAGGTACATTGTGGAGAGGTTGACAAGTTAGGAGATAACGCACACAGAAACTAGCAAGAGCATTGGTTTGCATATTGAGACAAATCTCTAATTGTTAGAAAAGATGCTTGAAGAGAAGGAAATCGATATAAACTAGCCAAAATGTCTGGGAAAGCTTCAAATTAAAATGACGGATAAATATTTCGTTGAGTGTTGTTGTTACAAAACATAAATGTTTTGTAGCTTTATGTTTTGTAGCTTTTAATGTGTAATTATCGTAATATCGTTTAAGAATTTGTGTCATAAATTACATGTATTTTAACCCCTTAACGCATTTGCCGGTGTCTCACACGGGCGAAAGTTTCCGGCAAATTTGCACATGCCTGTGTCTCACATGGGCACCCTTGTATCTCGCGTTATTTTATTTCTAATGCTTGTCTGAGATCCGTTCCAGTAAAATAAATAGGCTAGATTCTAATTAAACTTATTTGACATAGATGGCACCACTATTCAGCATTTTTGTTGTAAACCTGGTGCATTTTGATGATTAGCTATAAGTTTGCTAGGAATTCTTTGCTATAAAGTAGTCATTTGGTGTGGAAAAGGTAATATATCCAATTTTTATTACGTAAATATAATAAAAGTAAGCAGTTAACTGCAAATTATATTACTAAGTGTTTTGTAATTTAAAAAAGTTATCTGATAATGAGCGACTCTGACGATGGACAATTTTGAAATGCCAATTTATCAGACAGTTTCAGCGATGAGAGTGATTGATTTCTTGAGTGATGGGAAGTGAATCGGAAGATAATGACAATGAGATTTTGGATATAGCAAGGAATTGGTATCAAATTAGTATAAATCAACCAAAACGTTGCACCACCGAGATTTCGATTGAAGCTAACCCTGGCTGTTGTTTTACTCTGACGGATTACGATGATGCTTTGTCATACTTTGAATTATTTTTTGATAACTCTCTCATTGGACATAATTCTAACTGAAACAAACAGATATGCATTTCAAACATCCAGGATCATCACAGAACCTATGGTCACCGATTACTATGGAAGAATTATACATATTTTTAGCCATAACTATACTACAAGGTATAATAGAAAGCCTGAGATAAGGATGTATTGGTCAAAATTGAAATTTTTCAATCACCTTTTTTCCGAAGCTCCTTAGCTTTTGTCGCTATTCTGAGATAAAAAGATATCTTCACTTCTCTAACAATGAAACTTACGATGCTGAGATTCACCCCCCATCCCAAGCTCAATAAGATATGGCCTGTATTTGACCATATAAAAAAAAAGTGTTCTTCTCTATATACACCGGAAAGAGATATCACGATAGACGAAAGTCTACTACGTATAAAGGGCGAATGAAATGGAAGCAATTTGTTTCGTACTTTGTGAATAAAGTGTTACCTTCTTGTGAATCCCATTATATATTACCGGAAAAGGAACGAATCTGAGCGATGCATATCGAGAAATGCCGGTATCAACTCAAGTAGTGTTGTCACTGATTGAACCGTTATTAGATAAAGAGTACTGTTTGACGACTGACAACTTTTCCACAATTAGCGGATTTCTTGGTAAAACGTCAAACAGATACCTACGGGACTCTGAAAAGTATCAGAAAAGAAGTTCCATCTGAAATTAGAAATAAAAAATTGAAAAGGGGAGATGTTATAGCGTTTCAGAGAGGAAAAGTCATGGCGATGAAGTGGAAAGACAAAAAAGATGTCTGTTTGCTTTCAACAATCCATAACACACATCAGGAAAATACAAGTAAACAGCCAATGATGGCACTCAAATAAAGAAACCGAAAGTTGTAATTGATTAAACGATACAATGGGAGGCGTTGATCGGCTTGATCAGCATCTCCACGATTACCCAACAACAAGAAAACGAGGAAAAAAGGTACTATAAGAAAAATATTTTTCCATCTTGTATATCCGTATGGAATTCATTTGTACTATATAAAAAATGGAGGAAAACGGGACCATTTGGAATTCCGTAAAATGCTTGTGGAAAAATTAATTGAAAAATACCATTCAAAAGTGTTACCCAAAAGAACAGGTCGGCCTGGTTACCAACCTGGGCCTCTGAGACTAACTGAAAGGCACTTTCCCGAATTTGTACCACCTACAGAAAAGAAAGCGGCCCCTTGTAGAAATTGCGCCGTTTGTTGCAGTAAAAGAGATGAGAGGGGTAAAAAGATAAGGAAAGAAACAAGATACTATTGTAGGAACTGTAATGTTGGACTTTGCGCAGTACCATGCTTCATGGTATATCATACCAAACTGAATTTTTAATCAATTTTATGTTTGCAAGTATGAAAATTTGATTTAATTTGATTTTAATAACTTGAAATTCAAAATAAACATGTAATCAAATCGTTTTCACTTTGTTTGTATAATATATATATATATTTTTAAATTAGCCTATACTTGTACCCCTGT